ATATATATATATATATATTTATATTTATATATATTCAATGAGCAGTTACATTATTTTGATTTTTAATTTTTAATTTATTAAAATATCTCAAAAACCGCCATAAATAATTTGAATCACTCTTTTTTATTAATAAAATAAATAAAATTTCATTATATTTCAGGGGTGATTTGCCTCTAAAATACCTAAACTATTCACCGGTTTAGCTAAATCTGTGCTAATCATCTCAACATTGTTCCTTGGTAAGAATCTTCATTTTTAATTAGGGCGATTTGCATACATAACACTCAATGCTATTAATAATATGGATTTCAAACCCTAAACTTTAATATTTACATTCTAAGCACCCAGTATCAAGGCCTTAGATGATCCTATTGAAAGCAAAATCAGAGTGGACATGATCAAGACATACAAAAAACTCCAAACAATGAAATTGTTCTCCTCATTTGGTTCGGCGGCTATGAGATTGCGATGTACAAAGACCTCAAAAACTCGCATTGTTCTTCTCCTTCGTTTCGGCCGCAATGGAATCACAACATTAGTTCATTCGGTGGTGATTGGATCACGGTGTTCGCTTCAATCATGTTCAATTAGGCAGCGATGAGATCGTGACGTACAAAGGCCTCTGAAACTCCCATCTTTTTCCCACCTCACCTTGTTGTGAAATTTAGGGTGAAACAACGCAAATTCAGAAGAATATAGAGATTTAACGAGGTTCGACAAAGATGCCTACATTATTGGGAGTAGAGAGACGAATTCACTATTTCAGATGAGTTACATACCCATAGAGTTACACATCTATTTATAGATAAAATCCACAGATAAATTTACAACACGCCCTCGCTCCCCCCAGCCCACTAATTCAAGAGACACACCTCTTCACATCAGGAGACACTCATTTTCATTTTAGGAGACACATCTCTCCATTTTAATATACTCCAAATTTCCTGATATATGAATCATACCTAACACACCTCGCTTCGAAGATGATGATGTTAATGGTGGGCGGCAATATGATTGTTTTTTAATATTTTGGATGTTTGTGACGTAAATATTGAAGTTATATATATAATTTTTAGTGCTATGTTATGCTAACTAAAATATGATCGTTGCATCCAAATTATAAATAATTTCATAAAATATAAAAATTATATTATAAAAAAAAATTAAGATTTAATACAGCAGATGGACAGATCCGGTCGATAGAAGCTTCTCAGTTCCCATCATTCAGAAGGGGAACTCATGCGGCGGCACTAAACGTTAAACCATCAAATAATAGCAGCAGCGAATGCCCTCAAAAAAAGTTAAAAAAATAAATAAAAAGAAAAAGAAAAGAAATTTATAGTGACTGCTGAGCTTCCACTGAGGATAGCTTTCCCACCACCACTGCTCCACTGCGTACCCTCCACAGGCACACAATTCTTTTTTCTTCTTCCTTTTTTCACCCTTTTCCCCGTTTAGAATCTGAGGATATCTTTGCACTTGAAAATTTAACTTTTTAAAAATTTTATTGCTTTGAAAATTATATATATATATATATCGCAGTTTAATGAAAAAATATTACATTCGTTCACCTATATGTGTGAATTAGGAAAAAAAAATACATGAGAAGTGTTAATGCAAAACTATAACATGACTCTAATCACAATGCGTCTCCGCTGAATATAAAAAATTAAATAGTTTAATGCATGACGGGGTCAGATCCTACAAATGACGTTTTGTGATTAGAGTCATGTTATAGTTTCACAACTGAACTCCTGATGTAATATTTTTTCGTGAATTAATGATGTACAATCCAGGTATAGTATATCATATTTGTATATATGAATTATCCCTACGTAATATTTTTTCAAATTTATTAGATTTGATTATCAAATACAGCTTCTCATCTTTAAAAATTATAAAATAATAGCAAAAAAATTCCCCCAAATAGGGATTTCTAAAACATAATGCATAGAAAGTTGTTGGAAAAGACTACAAGTTATATGTTTTGACTTTTTAATTATAACCTTAGAAACATTGTGAAAATATTATCAATTTAGAGGTTATTTGAGTCACTATTTTTTTTCAATTTAATATTTTGCTTTGTTTTATTTATGACTTAACTAATATTTATTATATTAAAAATAAAGTCTTAAACAATCAAAAGCAATAAAAAGTTTTTTGTTTGTGCTTCTAAAAAAAGTTGATCTTTTTTTACAAATAAAAAAAATAAATTTGTGAAAATATATATTAAATAACATAATTTTAAATTAAAAAAAATATTTTAAATAGTTTCTTAGAGGGATCTGGTCATAAAAAGTGAGGGGAAGAAAATACAATGCTATATTTCAACTAGTTGGTCTGATTGTGGTTTAAAAATAAAATTTCAAACTTAATTTATATATAAAAAAAATCAATTAAATAAACACATACATATATAAATATACAAGTAAAAAATAATGGACAAATATCTTGATATAATTTGTATCATGATATGCTAATGTTATTACAATCATTCTCCATATTTAACCCATAAGTACAATTAAACTATGAAATAATACAATTACATTATTAAACAAATATGAAAGTGCGTCGGAGCCTATTACAAATGTGAAAACGTGTCATAATAAATTATGATGTCCCTATTAAAGCAATAAGTGAAATGCAATTTTACACTCAATATCCTAAAATCTATAAATAAGGGGTCATTTATATAATAAAAGACTACTAAATTTATTTTATAAAGCTCTTGAGTTATTGTGCTTTCTCTCTCTCTCTCTCTGACACACACACACAATCTTCCTCTTCCTCCCTCTCGTGTTCATCCTACCTCTGTATCTTGAATGTGATCCACATGATACGTTTGCATTCAATATAAAAAAAGTGAAAATAAACGATATTAATATTTTTATTTAAAGTTAAAAATTCAAGAGCTCTCCATATAAATATTAAAACTCGGGTTTTAGTAATGTGAAAACATAATAATTATGTCGTATAATATTATGGAAATAAATACACCTTAAAATTCTACCTAAAATTAACAATCATAAATTTTGCAAAATTTTAACTTATTTTACAAGATTTTAGCAATATAATTACATAGTAATTATAAAAATATTAAAATATCCTAGTCTTTTAAAATATGAAAATAAATTAAAATATTTTAAGATTCTTTATATAACCAAACTTTTTTTACAAAAATATCCTCAACTAATTTTTCTACAGATGCCCCACCTTTATCCCATCCTTGTAACCCACGATCCCACTATAAGAACTCCCATCCCGCAGCACCCGAAGCGAAGCAACAATGGCGGACCAGCCCCAATGGGTCACCTTCAACTCTTCCAACTCCGATTCCGACGAGGCCCTCTCCCTCTCCGACCTCCCCATCTCCAAACCCAACACCAACAATCCCGAACAAGACAGCGGCCCCTCGCCCTCAAAAGACGACCAGTTCGAGTTCCGAATCATCACCAACGGCAATCACTCCTCCACCAACCTCACCGACATGTGCGCCGCCGATGACGTCTTCTTCCACGGCCAGCTCCTCCCCCTCGGCCCAACACATCCCGTATCTCGCTCCGACTCCACCGCAAGCATCAGCTTCGATAGTAGCACCAGCGTCAGCCGAAGCCTTTCGTCGAACAGCTGTGCGAGCAGCTCCGATGCCCCGCAGTCTCTGCTTCGCATAAGATCGAACACCTTATGCGCGTGCCCGAGCCCGAACCCGCGGGTCTGGTCCGTCGGGAGAAACGGCTGCGGGAGAAGAAGCACCGGTTCTGCGCCGCCGGTTGGGTGGGGATTGTTGAGGTTAGGCGTCGCGATGGCGCCGGAGATGGAGCTGAGTGACATGAGAGTGAGGCTGGCGAGAGGTGGCAGCGGGAAGAATTTGGAGAAGAGAGGGAATGCGGTGTGGAGGTTACTGGGAGGTGGATTGATGGGGTGCAAGTGTTCCCCGGAGGATGCAATTTTGGGGAAGGATTTGAAGGCGAGGAAGAAGGGGGAAGGAAGGGGAAGAGTTGCAGGGTTGGAGAGAAAGGAGAGGATGTTTGAGTGGTTGGAGGAGCTTTCACTTGCTAAAGAGCCGTTGATGAAATTTAATCTTTAGCAGAGTTTGAGATCAGTGGAGAGTTGATAGATCGATTCTGTTCTTCTTCTTCTTCTTGATTGTTTGGTTATGTACGGATCTATGAAAGTTCTTATTTTTCGTCGTCTTCTTCTTCTTCTTCTTCGTTTTTGTTTAAATTTGTGCGTGTTAAAATGGTATAAAGGAAGGTTGGCTTTGTTCGGGGGGCAATGGGAGGAGGGTGTATTGATAAAAATGGGTGCTTTATTTAATTGCTTTTGTTCAGATCTGACATTCTTCTCGTGGGTGGCTGAGATGGATGTCATCATAGACGCGTGACCTCTTTTACGAGGAGGCATCAGCAGTCGTGGAGCTCTATACCCCTACCATACAAAAGAAAAACCTAAGCCTAATATTCTTTTTTTTATTATTTTTGAAAAATCTTGGTGGACTAATAAATTAAGTAATCAAATATAAATAAATAAATATATATATACACACACACATATATGGGTGCTATTTCCATCATATTATCAAGTCAAAATGAGGTTATGTTTGGAGTGGGCACTGAAAATTATAATTTTTTTTATATAAATGATAAATTTTAATATTTATTTATATGTAATTTATGCAATTTGGTAACTTTGTCTTCTTTTGTTACTAAAAAAAAGTTGACATGTAATGATTTTGCTCACCATTAAAAAGTAATGTTTGTTCTTTCACTGCATGTTGTAATCATTTGTTTTGGAAGGCTATGTCTTAGATGTTTTTTTTTTTTATGTGAGATAAAATCTATATAAAATAAATGGGCCAATAAGACATTTAGAGAAACTTTGAAAGAGATGGAAGAATTTGCTTTTGGGTAAATTTGCAAAAAAAAAAAAGATTTTTAAGCTTCATTCAAAAAGATTCCCATTTTCATGGATCAAGTAAAAAAAAAATAATTTGACTTGTCAACAAATGAATAAGAGGTAGAGATTAGAGAACATGTGATCAGAAAAGTGAGCCTATTGCAAAATTCACATGCCTTTTTTTTAGGATTTACCATTTAGATTATGTATTTTTTATGTATTCCTATATATATATATATATATATATATATATATACAAT